TCTTTTGAGTAACTTTTTAACCAAAAGAGCTAGCGATCTGCGGTTTCCGCCATTCGAAAGAGGATATCGGGGCACATATGTCTATGTGGAAACTAGAGTTTTCCGAAAAGTTTTCTAGGCTAACTTTTTCAGGCGACTTTTTCGGACACTAAATTTTCGCTGCGATATTAGTTCTGAAACTATATATGACGAGTAATGTTTTCTTTTAGCTTTCAAATAGGGCCGATTTTACTTGCACACATTTTTTTTGATTTTCTGTTGTTTTTCTTCTTATTTATCATTGGTTACTATCGCCATTCTCATACAAGATAAATACATTCGTTGATAGTTCATTTTTGTTTCTGCACTTTGCCATTATTGATGGTAGTTCTTTTCTTCGCAAACATAAACAAACAAAAGGAGGAGTGCATAGTAGCTGTTTTAAATGATGATATTTATATTTGAATTAAATGGGAGTTTTTCCTAAATGAGAATTCATTGGAGAAATTCTTCATCGATAGAAAACAATATCTTAACCTTATATGATTCAAAGTCCTGTCAAGATATGCACGACAATAAAGTCGATGTCATGATGTTGCTATGCACCTGGTCATTGTTATGATAGGAAGTAGTCAATTCTGGATTATTTGAAGGAAGATATTTTTGTTGGATTTCAAGTGTTCTCTGATGGAACTCAAGTGCTTAGAAGTACTCTCATGTTATCATGCACGTGAGACATATTATTCTATAGATATACATTGAATATTAGCTTTATGCAAAAAGAAGAAATCTGTCTGTTCGAAGAAAAGTAGAAAGTGGATTGCTGTTGAGTAATGTTATGTGATAGAAGAAGACATATTGACTGTAACAACAACGATGACTTACATACTTAGAAAGCTTTTAATGGCGATTTATTTCTTCTTTCTCTTACGTTATCATGCATGAAAGAAATATTTTCTTTTAAATATAGATTCTTCATTTTATAACATGCATATTTCTAACATTCCAATTGAAAATGCTCTATTAATCATTTTTTAATTTTCTCATACCATAAATCATAACATGAAGAAAAAAAACTCGTCTTTTATTCAAAAAAAGAAAATCTTTATTTATACTAACATTCCCCAATGTAGCTATCTCTCATATAAGAATTTTGTTAAGTAATACATATATAATAAAAGAAAACAAAATAATGTACAAATGAGAGAAAGAGAGAGCAGTGAAGAAATTTATACAAATGAATATATGTGTATATATTCATCAATTCACGCACGAGAAAAGAAAGGGTTCACTATCTAACACACAGACATGTATGTAAATATAGAAAAAGCAAAAAAATAATCCTGAGAGTTTAAGCATATCGATATTTGCGTACTAAATCTGTTGTCAAATCAACACAAAGTATACAATCATCATGTGTAGTTGCTTATGAACATAGACATCGTAAACGTTGATTATAAGAATCAATAATACGTAATAAATCACCTTGATTATCATATATTTCAATATATGCATTACCATCTTTTTCGCATTTCCCAGCTAATAAAAGGCCATTTTTATTCATAGAAAGGGCTGTATAACATCCTATGAATAAAATTTCCTGCTTTTAACAAAAAAGAAACCTTAATAAAAATTCTTCTTTTTTTACTTCCTTTTGTTATTTGAATATTAACAGATTATGACTGTTGATGTATTGATGAAGATTGTTTATTATGTGATATAATAAGCTCAGGTGGTTCATGTGTTATATTTTATCAACATCAACAATTTGTTCTTGAGTTATTGGTATTAATTGTCGAAACTATTTTCCATCATATAATAATATATGTATACGATGATCACTAAGGATTATTTCATCTTGTAAACTAATTGTAAATGCTTTTATTGTTTTTAGAGAATTTTACGAAGAGAGAATTTTGAAAAGGTCTCTGAAGGACCAGATTGTATATCTAAAGTTTTAGTAGCAATATATGATTTATATTAGGTTTTAATGCAATAGCGCAGGTAACCAAACTGAGATAATCTTCGTATTCCGTCTCCATACTCATTCGAGCAGTATAATCATCCATATTATGAAATCGTTTAGAAACGAAAGTGCTAAACTCGTCTTTATGTTCTGATATGTATTGAATGCTCTATATCTTGAAAGGTTTAGTTCATTAGTTTTAGCTGATGAGAAACAGCTTTAAAAGCACAGATATTCCGTCCTAAACTTAAGCGTTTAAGAGCCGAATCACTAACGAGGGAACCTTTTTAGGTTATAAATCGCTTTTTTTTAAAAATTTCTTCTTTTGCTTTTATTTATTTCATTTTGTTTTTCTTCAGATGAAAAATCGAAAATTGAAAATGAATGTGCTATATTTCAACTGGTATCAAATATTTATATATTAACACAATCTATACAAGAATTAAATGATCGTATTGAACGTATGGCTTTATTAGGTGAACTATGTGAAAATTCATTCATGAAATTTCAATTTCGACATAATCAAGCATTAGAAGATTTACCACGTTCATTAAACAGTGTGTATGTATCATCAACATATTCACCATTATGTCGAAAATTAAATCAATAATTAAATTCTGGTTAATCTTCAATGTACTATTTATATTGAAATAATTGATTACAATGGAAATGTATGTGTTGATGGTGGTGATCCATTAACAGTTAATATTTGGGATCTATATGAAAAATTATCTGAATATAATTTATATGATAAACAAAATGGATTATATACAATGATATTTCGACCGTTAATTAGTGGAAATCATCAAATTGGCATACATATATTTGATCGTCCTATATCAGGTTCACCATTTATAGTTGATGTAACGAAACTTAATAATCTAGTATGGTCATTTGGTAAGAATAAATAAAATAAGTTAAGAAACAACAAAATAAAGTTTATTTTATAATTAATTAAGGCGAAACGTGGTCGAGGTGAAAATGAATACCGCTGAATGTTATTGTTGATGATTGTAATGAACAAGAACAAGTGTATATACCCTATCCGGATAATGCACCTGTTCAGTCGAATTAAATGTCTACACCTGTTCAGTCCAATTAAATGTCAGCTATAATACATTCATGTACAATTGAGATTCAATTTCAAAAATAGACGAATGTGATGCATGTAACGATCATCAGTGATGACTATGTTTTGATACTGCAAGTTGCTCTGCGCAAAAAGCTGTTTGAACAGTTCAGAAACTCAACTATCACTGTAGATTTATCACCGACCCACTAGCTTTGCTAATGGAGTGGCTACCAACGGTATTCGAGGTAATGCTCTAATTATGGCCCATCTTGATGTAAGTCATGGCACAAATTGACGCCGTTAACTGGAAGTTTTCGATGACTTTTAAAAATTTTCTTAGTTCCGAAAACTTCTAAATTCGAAGAAGAATGTACTCGTATAAAATCAGACAATAATATCTTCGAAAACTGGACCGGACGTCAAAAGATTTAAAAACCCTAGTATCTGTTTCCGGATCGCGGTGCTAGTAGCTTAACTGATCGACCTACGCTTCTAGACAAGAAACAGTATTTAACAGTGACAAATGTAAGGATACATCTTCATCTATCCATATCAATTATTTATTTTCAAAGAAAATAACATCTTTGGTGAAAAACAACGGAGATAGCTTTCGTAGTTCAACTCTCTGAAATTTCCTTCAAATCAAATCGCTAATTTATACATATTGAAAGATTATAACTGTGTTAGTTAAAACACATGCAAGGCTCGCTCATTTAATTATTTATAAGTCGTTCATGTATGAATTGTTGACTTCGGCGTTTGCCAAAAAAGCTGGAACCGAAACCGCTGTTCCGGGTCATTTTTGGAACCCATCAAACTCTATTAAACTGACCCAATCATCAGAAATTTCATAGACCGAAGTGATCTTTTTCAACGAACTTTAATTTCAACTCAAAAATGAATGGATACTTCTTTTCTTTAGTTTTAGCGTCATGTAGCTAGTTATGTTTGCATTACACATATCCTTTATCAATCCGAGAACTAGCAAACTTCTCAAATCTCAAATTGAAAAGATAAAAAAATCTGTCTTTTTAGCAACTGAAACACTTGTTCAATCCACAAGTACTGCTCTACCTTATCGTTCATTACTCACGTGGGAACCGCCCAAGGTGATACCCTCTGTGTCTACTGAGTTATACTTCAATCGATAGAGTATAACGAGTTAGTAAAAACCCTAAAAGGATTCGAGTTCATGGCTTTTGAAGACCTGGTTTTCCGGAAAACTAGTTTTTCAGAAACTCTAAACAAAAATATCTTTCTTGGTGAGGCATGATTGTAGTGCGCACATTTCTGATTAAAAAGAGACATCTCCCAGCTCTACATGACCTTTCTTTGCAAAATTATAGAATTTGCAAAAGCCCTAGATGTTCATCGTCAGCTCAAAGCTATAGCAATAAGAAGGAAAAAATTAATTTAGGGCTTTTCTTGTAAATTCTACAGGTCTTCAAAATGGGTCTTCAAAAGCCATGAACCCGAATCCTTTTAGGGCTTTTACTAGCTCGATATAGTCTATCGATTCAAACGGAGGTAGCACCTCGGCCGGTTCCCTCGTCAGCTCCTATAATTCTCAAAATTTGTCTGAAAAGTTTGTGCATTACTTCGTGGAATATCAGTTTGAACGATGTTTTAAATATGTTGGTACAAAGTGCTATACTGTCTTTGAAGAAGGTTGTTATTTCTGCGATGTGTCTCGTCATCTAAGAAATGGATCATCATTATAGTATAAGCGAGCCGAGTTACTCTTGATATTTTCATATTTGTCACCATATTCAAACACCTAACGAGGAAAGGACACTAACTGACAAATCGCTTTTGGCCTAAAACTAAGTGGAAAATAGGTTATCGACTATGCTGATTCCGAATATGACAATGATTTGGGCTGATAGGCCTTTGGAGACCGGGTCCCTGCAAATCTGGTTTTCCAAGGCAAAAGTTTTATCGTTTCAAAAAAAATTTTCGACTCGGCCAGATGAAAGAGCATTTCGCGAAAGCTATAAAAAACATATTTTCAAAATTTTCCGAAGGTTTTTCGACAGTTTTCGTAACACTTTCCAGAAAAATCCAAGGTTCAGCCTCCAAAAAGTGTCTGAAAA